AAATACACACAAAGCAGAACACAGCTAAATGAATCAAAAGTATGTCTATGTAATATTAGAATTTTCTGAGACAATGAATTTTGGTTTTTCATTTTTTTCCCCAGTAAGAGGTTTTTATTTAATAGAATTTTTTGACAAAAAAAATCACAATATATCGCAATATATTGCCTTGCTTAAAGTATCGCAATATATCGGGATATATCGTATCGTGACCCCTCTGACATGATATGTATCGTATCGCCAAATTCTTGCCAATGCACAGCCCTACTCGTCACATATTGACGCATGGTCAGGTACCGTCTGCGTCGTTTTGACGCGTCAGGTAACCYTCTCGCGTCGGTTTTTGACACCCGCGGCTTTTCCGGGTTCACCCCACATAGGAGTCTTTGGGTTGGGGTCCATTGATAATATTAGGGATCAGGATTAATGGTTAATTTTAGGTACTGAGGTCAGGGATAGGATGTCTAGGKCTAATACAAGTTCAATTTAGGGTCTGGGACAGTTAATTGTTGTGCACTTGCTACTCTTTTCAAAAATATGACAACACGCTCCTCCTCCTTCATCTCATCTCACCAATAACTGACGCCAGGGGGTTACCCAAAGCGTCAAAACTGAACGCAAACGGTACCTGACAAAGCATCAATATGTGACGAGTTGGGAGTGAGAATGGGATGCTACTTTAAAGCATTGACTATAAACTTCATTTCCTATAATGCACATTGATTATTTCACCCTCAAAATGATGATGTCCCACCACTAGGTGGAAGTCCACACGGTTCAAAAGTTGTCGGTGGAATCTGCCCTTTAAAATCTTAATTTTGCTGCATTTTTTCATGTTAAATTTGCTTCAGCCTAAGTGTGCTGGGAAGTGGGAACTTCCCACTTACATGTTGTAAATTTTAAACTGGAACATCCCTCCAGTGGGAACTCCCTGTCATCACAGCTCAACAGTGAGTAAAACTTATATTTTTACTTTTCTATTTTATTTATTTCACATTTAGTCAGTTGTCACGCAGTACTTTTCAGTGTTTATAAGAGGACGTGTTAAAATGCTGTTTCTATGCAGGAAATACCACATAGAGCTCAGTTATTGTTTGTTAGCGGAGCTCAGCCAAAGCAACGAGACGAGGAACATGACTTTTATGTTTAGTTTAAGTTAAACACGAAACGTTGAAATTAATTACAACTGCCCCAGTGCCCATGTGAGGCCATCCTGGTCAACAAGGGCCACTATCCTCCACGTTTTAGTTGTTTCTCTGCTCTCATACACTTAACCCGGAATCTTCCTGAAAATGATGTGAATGTAGCAGCGCACATTTAGGTGATTTTTATTGTTTACATATGTGCAAAACATTGCTTGAATCAAAGCTGAAATAACTGAACATGCTGCAGAAACAACCGTACAAAAAAGTAAGCAAAAATAGCATCTGTTTATAAACAATTTACAAAATATAATAAACTTTATAAAAAATGTATATACTCATCTGTTATTTGACTGAAACTTTATCAGCAAAAACCATCATTTCTGCCGTAACATCACAATGTCTTTTACATTCACTTGTTGCACGTCACAGAAGTCCATTCGCTGAGGTAGAAATTAAAGTTTTTGTTGTTTCTCTTCATAAAAGCCATAAGAGCCGGTCAGCTAAGTGCTCATCCTGCGCTGTGAGAAATGATCCGTCCTGCAGCTGTCAAAGGGCTGTTCGTAGACGCTGCTGCTCTGCTCCGAAGACGAGTCCTTGTTGACGTTTTCCTCATAGTTTGAATTATTGTACGGGTTCTCATGCAGAGTTATTCCATTACAAGTAACCGATGATGGGTTGCATCCATTGTAAAAATCCCTATGGGGCCTCCAAGGAGCTTTCCCAAATGTTCCTGAGAGAGAGAAATGTGTGGGAGAAAGTCAGAGGAAAGCACAATCATAGAACCTCAGAATATCAAYGAAACTAAAGACCTACCCATGAAGGTGTTCCCTGGGGAGAGGTTCTCATGATGTCTCCCATAGTTGACCACGTCTCCATTCTCAAAGGGTAGATCACAGTCGCTCTGCTGGTGAGAGGGGTCCTGATGCTTGCTAGGGTTGGGAAGCTGCATCAGGATGCCGGAAGGGCAGAAATCAAAGTAATCAGGCAGCAAGAAATCCTTCCTTTTAGAGTTGCTGTTGCTGTAGTAGTCAGTCCCAGCTGCACTCTGGTCRAAGGAATAACCTGAAGGTGAAAATCCAGACAATTAAAGTTCTGCTTTGGAGTTTTTGCTGAGATGAAGGATCAAAATGATGTTTTTAACCAACCTGTAAAGGCTTCAGATGGCTCGTTGGGATATAAGTTATCTCGGCAAATCAGCGAGCCAATCGGATCTTGATAATGGCAGAGCAAAGGATCAATAGCCGCTTCCATGTCCGCTTCACTTCCTGTGTCCAGCTGACAAAGACCTGTTTGGGTGAAGAGGTGGTATCAAGTAAGCAAACTCAGAATATTTACTTTCAAGACGAAAAAACAGGTGCATACCGTTCATGTCTTTAGGCTGCAGGTAGAAACCACTAATAGACGACGCCATGTACTGATGGCTGCTGCCGCTCTCAGAGGGGATGTAGGCGTCCTGTCGGTCAGACAGGGTTCCCTGGGAGGACAGGTAACTGGGAATATCTGCAGGCAGGTTGGTTTCATCTGGGGCACAAATGCGTTTGACAATTAATAGAAAAGAAAGGTGGAAAATGAGTTTTTGGTCAGCAAAAACTCCACCAACCTGTGTTGGTGACGCTACAGTCCTCGTTTCGCCGTCGAGTGTGGTAGATGATGACCACCCAGACCAGAGATGTTCCAACTACACAACACACCACTGCTATGATGACAATGCCAGCTGTGGCCCACCCGTCGTCGTTCGATCCATTCCCTTTGCCGGTCTCAGCACCCCCCATCACTCCAGAGTCGCAGTTGGGATTTGGTAGAACGCTCAAACGAATGTGTCCCCTCTCTGTTCCCAGAGCGTTGGACATCTCACAGGTGTACTTTCCTGCGTCTGCATCTGCGGCGTCAACAATGATGAGGAGCTGGTTGGCAGCGGCGAAGAAGTGACGCTCCGTCACCACCAGTGGGCTATCGTCTTTGGTCCAGTTCAGTCGCGGTGGGGGGCTGCCGCCAGCGATACACTGGAGGACTGCCGTCTCACCCTTCGCCACCGTGCAATCCAAGAGGGATCGCAAAAAGCGAGGCGTTTCTGAAAGAACCACAGCAGCAAGGATAGTTTAAGGGATTGAATGGCAGCTAAACTAAAATGTTAACCAGACTTCGACAGTAAAATAACTTCCTCACCAAGAACAGTCAGCGTAGCGTTTGCAGAAATGGCCCCCGCTATGTTCTGTGCCGTGCAGCTGTAAACGCCGATGTCTTCCGTTTTCACATCTACGATGAAAAAGACATCGTCCTCCGGCATGACGTGCATGCGACGTTCACGGGCTGCAGGGAAGTCTGTGCCTCCGTCTTTCTGCCAAGCAATCTGGGGGGACGGGTGACCAACAGCAGCACATTCCAGCCGAGCCATCGCTCCGGCTCTGATACTGAGGTCCATCGGCATCTTTGTAAAGGAAGGTAGCACTAGAAAACGACAAAAGACTTTAGGATTGAGAAAGTATTTGAAAAAGTAAAATGGTACTTTCTATCCCAGACTTACTGTGAACAGTGAGCCTGGCCTTAGTGGAGTAGGACGAGCCAAAGTGGTTGGAGATCACGCACTGGTACTTCCCTTCGCTGGAGAAGTCCACGTTACGCAGCTGCAGTGTGGTTGTGTACTCCGTCACTTCTGTTTCACCCCCCGTACCTCCTTGCACCCGCAGGTGGGCCTGATTGTGGATCTCCGCATCGTTCAGGACCTCGTTATCTTTCTTCCAGGCAAAGGTCATGGGCGAGTCACTGGAGCTGGCGGCGGAGCACACAAAGGTCACGTTGGAGCCTTTGAGGGCCGAGCGGGTCTCTGGCTGCACTGTGATCTGAGGCTTAGGGAAGTCATCTGGGTGGTTTAACAAAAACGGAGAAAAACAACTTTTACATTTCCAACGTTTCCTCGTTAAAATCAGCTTGTACAGATGTCCAATGCGGGGATAAAAAGCTTAATCTGTGTTCGTTTCCAAAGCCCCGATTCTGGTGAAACGGCTCGAATGCATCACTCACCGCACACAAAGTCCTCCTGGTTGACGGAGAACACACTCCTGCCCTTCAGCATCTGCGGGTGGGCGCAGCTGGCGTTGATGCAGGGCAGGAAGGTTTGCTCTGCCACCCAGACGGGAAGCCACTTCAGCTGGCAGTCGCACAGGAGGCTGGAGGTGTTCAGGAGCCTGCCAAGGGCGGGAGATAACACAACCTCTAGTGTCCTCCAACACGGCTCGGAAAATAAAATTGCAGGCTTGACAGCAAAATCCGTAGATGGAGGTTTTAACAAAGCAAAGCGGAGACTTTGGCAAAACCCTGAACTCATTCTTAGTGAAGTCACACATGGACACACTTACAGCTCCGCTAGGTTCTTCATCTGAGAGAAGGCGTTGGCTTGGATGGACATGATGGCGTTGTTGCTCAGATCTCTGTAAAGAAATAAGAAAAAGAACATTGAGAACATTTTTTTTGTTCTTTTGCACACAGCAGCAAATGTTTGATGTAAGGACTTCAAAAACATCAATCAGAAGAATAAAAAAGGTCTGGGTTCCAACACAATAAAACTCTGGGCAACAGATTGCTGAGTTAATCAAAGGAGGCCAAACTCTGAGACGCTTTGAGCTTTGGCAACGGCACGGGGAAATAAAACTAATTAGAATCAAATGCAGTTGTTGCACAGTCGAACACACACAGTTGTCTCCACTCGCCTCGGTGATCGATATGATTTGGCTCACACATAAAGATGCTAATGGCAGATTTTTTTTGTCTCRACTCCACATCAAAGCAGAGGAGACAGTTTGGATGCATGGCTCTAACAAACACCCCGTACGTCTTCCTCTGATTCATCCCGCTCAGTTTACAGCCCCGACGTTTGAAAACAAACAGCGAAACATGACTCACAGGTGCTGCAGCGTGTCCAGGCCTGAGAAAGACTTTTTGGTCACAGAGCGGATCTGGTTCCCCTGCAGGAACCTGGGAACAAAAGTCTCATCACTTTTAGTCGCTGACATTATTTTTGTTTAAACGAGTGTTTAATTCAGCATCCCGTCGAAGCAACTCACAGCATTTTCATCTTGTCCAGTGCAGAGAAAGGTCCGTTCATGTCTTCAATGGTCCAGGAGATTTCATTATTCTGGAGATCCCTTTCGGAGGAAACGAAAAAAAGACCAAAATGTTAAAAATTAAAATAAAAATCCACACCCAGAAAAGAACTGAGCCAGTGAATGGTTCTTTTCCTGTGAGCGGCGGACATTAAAGACATTAAAGTGGCTTTGTGCTTTAATAGAAAGTCACTTCCTGGTTTTGTGGCACTTTTAAAAGTTTGTTGTGTGGAAGGGGGAAAGTTTCCCAAGGAAACACTGAAATACAACACGTGCTGCTTTAAAACCCTATTAAAAGAATTTATTATTTTTAAAAAAATGCAGCATTGAACACAATTAAATCATTACATTTGAATCTTAAAGCAACTTTCACTGATAAGTTGTTTATTTTGACATTTATTTGCGTTTTTGTTGGTTATTTTTCATCTAAAGTCAATGTTCATGTAGCTGTCCACAGAAAGAAAAACACACCCAAGATCACTCAAAGCCCAGATTTTCCCAGAGAAATTGTCTCCTTTGATCCTTTAGCTGATTTAAAGCTTTCAAACCGTTATTTTCCTCGGCGTGCTCGGCTACGGCTGACTGAAACTTGTGCAGGGTGTGTGTGTGTGTGTGTGTGTGTGTGTGTGTGTGTGTGCAGGTAAATTCTGTAAATTGGACTGAGCTGAGGACGTACTGGCCTGTGACGTCCATCCAAGCCCACAAAGGTGCACACCTGCCCTGCGGTGACCTCAACAAGCAAGGCTCACATTTGGTTCCAGTTAGCTCGGACCACGGGAAATGTTCCCCAGCCTTTCTGTGGGAAGGGGGGGATGGGTGGATGTGGTGTTGGGCTGAGTCTGGACAGAGGAAAGGACGGTGGGGGGGGGGGTTGCTGAGGTTGTGGTTGTGCCTGTCAGGAGTTTTTTTATGTTTGTGGAGACACCTCAACACGGTAATGTGTAAGCTTCCCCAGAACAAACCGTGCTTTTCTGACGAGGTTTTAGGACTGTAGGGGTCCGTTTAAAAGACGTTTTTATCTGAAACACCAACAACAATAACCTCATACTTTTCTTTTTTTAATCAAATCTGAGCTCTTTTTTATAGCCTTGTTACCAACACTCTCCAAAGATGATCATTTTCTTTTTTGTTATTCATATTTTTCTGTACCTTTGTTGCAATCAGAACTACTTTTGCATACTTTGGGCTATATTAGCCAGTCATATATCAAAATGTTCAGCTCATTCCTGTGATGGGTGTTGTCACTTTTGGTTTTTGTAACTTTTATACTTTCTTTGCAAATTTTCCCTATTGAAGGARTGAATCTCTCTTCCTTTAAAAACACAGTTCACTGCTTTAGTGTATTCAATTTTTTAAAATTATTATTATGCTACTTGTACCTTTTAGCTACAATTCATTTTTTTGAATGATTTTATTTGATCGGGACAGTGTGCAATTAAAACATAATTTGATGCATTGCACCAGATTTAGCCTAAGGCTAATTTACATCTGTAGTCCCATCAAACAGTAAAAACAAAACAACATCCAAATAGACAAATAGAACAAAAACTAAAATAATAAAAATAAAACAAATAGAAATAAGAGAAGAAAAAACAGAAAAATAAAAACAGTATAA